TGTACAGGGTGGCAATACAAAAGACTGACACAGGATTATTATTAAGTGTTTAAGCAGGAAAAGCAAAAAACAGTCCACAAATTGTACACATGAATTATACATACTATGACAAAAAGGTGCATAATTCTTCTGATTTTTGTGCTCATCAAAGTTTCAAAATAAAACCCTGATGACAACATCAGAGCTTTCTCCTCAAGGGCTCGAGACTTCAATATTTTGACAAAAAACCTTTCTCACAAACTGGAGGTGTGGGATTTGAAAGAAATGGGCATTTAGGAGGCAGACAGGGTCCATTGAAAGACACTATCAAGTCGTATTATAGGAAATGTAGTGTTTTTTTATTCATATTAAGGATTAAAATTCAGTATATCTCCGCCTATGCTGATGTTGACCATTCCTTTCATCTCTTGTTACTCCACCAACTTAAGGACAGTTCAATACTGAATAGCCTCAGTACCCCATTGAAACTCAATCAAGTCATGAAAATCAAGACTTGGCACGTACTTATGCATTGCTCTTCCCGCTCTCTCTCTTTACTTGCTGTATTTCAAAATAGTTGGAACTGCCACCATGTTTTAAATACGGAATTACAGTAAATGAGTATGATAAAATGATCGGGAATCTTTTTTCCAGTTAAATAAAAGAATAGGTACTGCCTTATTTTGTAAACCTTTAGTAGTTTTGAATAAAGAATTACACTTCAATTAGTCAAAGATTGTTATTTCTGGTGTGGACAGTAATGTCAAACCTGAGTCACAATTTAGTTTATTTGAAAAATCCTTAATTATCTTGTAGGGCAAGTTAAAAGTTGTGTCTGTATGAATGCGATAGCGGCGGACACCTTAAGGTGGAACATATACACTATCGGAATCACAGAAAAAGAAACGGATACCTTTTATCAGTATGTCAGATCACAGGCCACTTTCCACTTTATAGCCCTTTGAACCTAACAAACAAAAGGTCAGTATGTGCAAGCACACACACACACACACACAGACCCACACACACACACACACAAACACAATCCATTATCTTCCACTGAGCAAATATAAACCAAACCTGCACACACGCATAGACACACTCTTAAAAAATCCATTTGTACTGTTTGAAGAAGAAACTACAAAGCAAAGAATGGCACGAAGTGGCCGCGCATTGGCCTGCAATCTGGGCAGGTTTCAACTCCCCTTATGGCCTGGATCAGAGGAGTGAAGCCAAGCAGAATCTCAGTCCTCTGTCAGATGAATGAAACCACTTAGCAAATTAGCAGTCTTTCCTTTTGGCCTTTGCAACACACACACACACACACACACACACACACACACAGGTGCACAAGTACACACATTTGCACACACTCAAATAAGCAGCATGTGATGGTAAAAGGCCAGGTCATGAGAGACTAGCGGGACTAGAAACATGCGGAGGCTGGAGAGAAGAAGAGTGAGAGGAAAAGAGGGAGTGAGAAAGAAGAGGAGAGTATGAAGAAGGTGAGAGGAGAGTGGAGGATGATGACACAGTGAGAAGGGGAGCATGGAAGTGAAAAAAAACGAGAGGGGAGGAAGATGGTCAGGAGGTGTAAGTAAAGAGAGCAAGGAAAAAGGGAGGACATGGGGGCAGGTGAGGACGACAGGGTGCGTCCCAGTGGAGAGAATGGCCGCTGGGCAAATTAGTGTAACACCAAAAGCCAGCCTGTTGAAGGGACCATGCGGGGGAAGGACAGAGGAGCAGGACGAAGGGGGAATTGCCTGTGGCACGCATCCCTTTTACAGGGGTCACCACCGGTACACATTGACTCAAATGCACAAACACACACTTACGCAAGCACACACACACAATCCCTTTCCCCACATAATTCCACAAACTTATATAAGTGCACCTACATGCAATCATCTAAGGGCATTTTGAGATCATCAAATAAAAAGAAACATGGCCGTGATCGTATTATGTGATCAGTGCCGATTAAATTATTTATACAACGGACAATCCTCACAATGGTGCATGCTAGACGTGTGTATGTGTGTGCCCATATACTGCCTTCATCCCAGTGTCCAGAGAATCACGTCAACGGACTAACAGAAGAATGGAAACATGAGGTTCAAATTGATTAACATCGGAGTTCTTAGCAGTAATGCCGAGGATTAAGACAGCTAATAAATGTTTCATTCAAAGCCAGACCAGGATCAAACGTTAGAAAGGCCCCCGGCTCGCTCTCTGGGGTTAGCGTGATTCTGCTCTTTCCTCTCCTCCTCCTCCTCCTCCTCCTCCTCCTCCTCCTCCTCCTTCCTCAGCTGTTGGTTTTCAGCTGTATTATGACAGCCACTACAGATTGTCTCACTAGCAACTACAGGCCCTGCCCTTGTGCCTACACATCATTAGCTCTCCATCTGTCAGCTTCCTAACAGGTTCCCACTAATTCCCAAGGACTCACTTCATTGCATTCCTATCCAACAGGCAGCAGCAGCAGTCAGCTACAGACTACGCTCTGTCCTGTTCAGTTCGGAGCCTCTCTTTTCTTTGACTTTTCCTTCTCTCTCCTTCACATTCCCCCTGATCCTGTATTCTCTTCCTTACTTCATCCCTCTCCTCTTGTACCCTATTTGCCAATCCTCGCCCCCTCTCTATGAACTCCTCCTCCACTTTTAACCTTTCCACTGCACCCCTCTCATCCCCCTTTCATTCTTCTCCTCAGACCTGTTCCTAAAGTGTCTGGCGAGATTCAAGGCTAGCGCCAGTGGTCAACAGGGGATTAGCAAGTATGGAGGTTGGAGAATGTGTGAAAAACAGTTAAGTCAAACACTCTGCGGGCCAGTGGCACTCTCTCTCTCCCACACACACACACACACACACACACCAGAGATAACCCACACTAAAGCACAAACCAAATCAACCGGACAAAAGCTGCTTCTGGCATCACGTTTATCACTTTGCTTGCTCACATGGTCCAGAGCCCCACTTCCGAGAGGAATGTAGGCACACAAGATAAATATAAATACTGCATGTTTTTGCAGATAAATTGAAATAAAATAAAAACAAAAAATAATTATAATGAGAAAGCACAGAAAGATGTAGTGGCTAATGGCAGCGACGTTGACACTGGTCCTAGCAAATGGGCTTTGTGGCTGTGCATGTAACTCTATCTGTAGAGGGGGAATACAGCAGTGGTTGGGTAATGGAAAGGTCATTTAGCCAATCCCCCAGGTAGGGGGGGGGCTGGTCTGACACAGCTCGTTTGTCACAGTTCAATAACTGCCACTCCAGGGAGTGTGAGGGAGAGAGAGAGAGAAAACGAGTGAGAGAGGGGAAGGAAACTTAAGTGTATTTGTGTGTGAGTGCACGCTGAAACCCTGGTGTGTGATAGTGTGCTCAGGCCCTGGCAGCACAGCTGATTCCCAGAGCTTGTCCCTCCATTAGAGGCCTCAAACGGGGTCACAGCGAAGGCCAAGCACCACCGACTCAGTCATCTCGACTTGAAAACTTGCTGGGAGCCTTGATCTGGGAGCATTGTCCTAACTTAAACTGGCAAATGTTTCCAAGTGGGAAAACTGAATTGTTACACCCAAAATGGCCACTCCAGATGTATGGCTAGCTGGCTAGGAAACTAAACTTCCAAAAAGACAAAAAACATTTAAAAACCAATTGAATAATCTGAACAATGTATTGTCACAAGGTACACAGACCAGTTTTTAATGAATTGATGAAAACTGTATGTTTTGTGGGTAAATGGTTTTCACAGGACAGCATTGTAGCTCTTGAATAAATCATCCAAAAAAAGATCTGTCTGTCCAATCAATCAATAAATCAAACATATCTCTGAGGTGCAATATATTTAGAATTGCACCTCAAAGTGCTTTATACATTTTTTAAAAAGACATAAATATAAAACAAATAACAGCAAAAGACGACGCTCCATTATTCTCAGTTGGCTGTATGGACTAGCACTGTCCCTTTGACAACCTTTATGTCGTTAGGTGTGTGAATGATCCCCCAGCTTTGTGAGAGAGCCAAAGATTTTCACACATTTCATTGAGTGACGGGTGAGGCACACCACCGTCTGTCCTTCTCCTCACTTTGAAAATCAATAATAGGCCTTAGGTTCACATTCACGTGTCTCCATATCTTACCGGAAAGACGCCCGAGGCACAGATTTGTTCTTCATCTCAACTGGATTGAGAGATTTGGGATTTTATCTCCAACC